CTGCAAGGACTCTTTGCCCCCGCCCCCCCCCATTAGTAACCCGGTAAATTGGAAACTTTTCAAGCACGATACATTTTAAATCTGTGCTCTGCGCTTTAAAATTTGGGGAAAACTGGATACTTTTAATATGACTTTGTTTTTAAGTTAGTTGATTATTTAGAAACTATTACAAGGTCACGTGGGGTGTTAGGTGAGCTTGGTGGGAAGTTGTCAGCCTGGCTACAAAACGACGTAGGTCGGTTCTCTGGTTTTATGAAGTTATCATTTACTTTGCTTGGAAAACAAGCTTGCTCTCTAGGAAATGCTAATTATTCCTCAGGGGCTCCTTTCTAGATCGTTGCAAATAGAGCCTTTGTCCACAAACTGAGAACTTTTAACTGCTTCCAGTTGCTAGAGACGCTGATTTCCTTGACGTTGGTCCTTGTGTGCTGTGCTGTTGCTTAGCCGATGGGCGTGTTTCAGAGGTGGCTGTGCGTGTGTGCACGCGCGTGTGCACACTGCAGACTGCCTGAAACCAGTGGTAGGGCCTGACAGCTGTCTTTTTTTTTTTTTTTAATGTTTATTTTTTGAGGGGGGGGGCAGACTGCAGAGGGGGTGGTGCAGAGAGAGAGGGAGACAGAATCGCAGCAGGAAGCAGGTTCCAGGCTCTGAGCTGTCAGCACAGAGCCCCACGCGGGGCTCGAACTCGTCAACTACAAGATCGTGATCTGAGCTGACGTCGGCCGCTTAACCAACTGAGCCACGCTGGCGCCCCATGACAGCTGTCTTTTACTCGACAGTTTGTTGTTTACAAGTAACTTGATGTCACAACAAAGGATTTTCTGTCTTTATTCCGAGGGTTTTGAGGTTTATAAGGAAAATTCTCTTATTTTCAGCCAAACCTGTTTGTGTTGGCATGTTCAATAAATATGGAAATAAGTTGACCTTTGGCAAGGGAGCAGAAATCAGACTTTCGGAGGGGTACAGTGTGCCCAGAAGAAGGAATGAGTAAGAGAGGTTGTGCAGTGGAGGCCGAGCCCCTGACCTGCATCCCAGCTTCCAGGAGCCCTGCCCTTCTTATGGCCCAGGAATTTTTTCACAGAAGGGATTTTGGCGTTTTCACAACGTGGAGTAAGTGAATAACTTGTGGGACCTCGTAGCACCGCCCTTTTTGTAGAGATCGTTCCCGCATCTTTGGTGCAGAGTGGTAACAGACACAGGTTAATGCAATAGACTGTGTAAAGACAGTTGGTGCTAGTTAAATGCAGATAAATTGTTTTAAGAATCTTTTTCTTGAACCTAAACTTAGTTTTATGTTACAAGTTCTTTTTAAGTTAAAAAATCAAGTTGTATAAGTTTAAAAAAATGTGTAATTTAGAGAAATTATGCAGAGATTGAAATATTCTTATTGCTTATTTCAGACTTGCCTACTGAATTGAAAATCACTACCGAGTTAAAAAAAATATATGAAAAAAAATCACAGTCCATGGTTGGTGTCTTATTTGAATGACCGTGATTTTAGTCCAATTCCAATTTTAGAGTGAATTTGCATTTTGTAGTTAGTGTTGAAAATTTACATGCAGAGAATTTGGGAGAGTGCATAAGTAATTTAGTCTTAAAGTATGGTTCATCATTTTATTAAAATGTCAAATAGTGTGTTAATTTAGGAGGAACAGAGGCAAACGAGGACCGTGATCCAGTGTATTGGCTCTCGTGAGTATTTTAAACAGTTTGGGTAAGATCTGAACACATACGGTTTTTCCACGATGGTTGGTGAGCCCAGTGGGGACCCTTGAGTGTGTGTGGAGTGCACACACATGCCAGGGTGTGTGGTTTTCCAGCAAACAGGCGATTTCCACAAATCCTCGATTGTCAGCCAAGTATGTGGGGCTGTGGGTACAGAAATGCAAACTTTTTCCTCTCTGGGAGCATCTCACTCTCTGGAGGTGCAGGTGTTATTGATACTGGGGAGTTCTTTGGGGTGGGATCCGTGGAAGGGCCCTGGGCTACGTGTGGGGGAGGGGAAGCTCCTGAAAGCGAGCGGGTGGAGGTGGCCTTGTGGCTGTCCCTGGGCCAGCAGCCTGGTGCTGAAGAAGGTGGAATTTAGGCTGGAAGGAACCTTGGGCCTGGTTGGGGAGCATTTTCAAGGTGGTCAGTGACAGAATGAAGAATGCCCTCTTTGAGGACAGGGTCCTTATTTGTCCAGGGACCTGGTCTGAGTGGGCAGCAAATCTAGGAAGATTTGCTGGGCAGGAATGTCTGGCTGTGTTGTTGCTCTTATTGTTGCTAGGGTAGCAAACTGCACATAATTTACAAATAAAAATAAGTCTTTAACGGTGGTTAAAGTACT